CTTCAAGTAAGCTTTCATACGTATTCCATTGCGTGTCAACAATTTATAACAATCTTATGCATTTATACAGTCTATAACTTCTAAAATAGTAAACCAGACGGAGAAATGAAAATTTCATATTTCTCGCACGACTGTTCTAAAATACGTTACCACCGTTACCATATCGCGTCTCCGCGCAATGGGCTATCAATGCAAATTGTCCATACATAAAAATGGACTTTCACGGGAAAAATGTACGCGCAGATAGTTTTTTCGACGCGCTGCGGTCGGCCACAATAATTGGCAACCCCGCGAAAAGGGGACGCATGAATGTTTCAAGACGAGCTTGATCGTTTCGAGAAGTTTTCCCGGCGATGGATCAGCGCGCGCTGGAAAGTGGTTCAAGTACGGGCGTGCAGCGACGCGCTACTGCCCCCGAAATAACGATTACACCCACACTATTTACCTGAGAGACGGACTATCGATTACGCCAGCCGATAAATATAACGCCGCTAAAGCCGCGCTCGACCTTCCACGGCGGATCGTAGTCAACGCTCGTTTTCAAGGTGGCCTTTTTCTTCGATGTACGTGGCCGTTGCCGATTAACCCCTCGGCTCTATGATTTCCTTCGCGGCCACGCTCGTCCAACTTGTTCTCCTAGGCGTCGCTCGCGGGAAGGATTTCCAGCGATTCTATCGATTAGCGTACACTTAATAATAGACGCATTCTGAATATTCAGTTCTCCGAGTACCGAAACCGACGAAACGAATTGCCCTATTGTAGTTCGGACGAGAAATATTCACCCTTCGCGGACGAAGATTCTTTTGAGATACACTAAACCTTCAGCGGGTGAGGTTAAATCATATATAAATTGCTTAAATGATTAAAAAACTACGTGCTGATCTCTTGCTGTTTGAGTAATCATCTGTTTGCGACTCAGTTTTCGAAACGCGAATGCTTCATCTTCAACTCTCGACATTCGTTGGCAAAGGGTTAACGTAGTAACGAAACGTTGAAGCAAGATCATTCGTATAATCAAAGATTTCTTGATATTTTCTGATTGTTCTGAATTTTAATATAATTAATAATATTCTGTTTGGTTATTCAAGGACGTACTCGTTTGTTCGTTTTGTAGGTTAGAAAGCCCTTCTAGCTTCTGAATACATTGTACATCATTTCTATATTATTCTCGTTGAATTCAACTAGAAATCGTCGTCTTACAGCGAGAGGTTAAACTTCTGTTGATAGCATTTGCAATTGGATGGAATAATCTTTCTCGTTGTTTACCAACTGCACGTAGCGTCTTACGCTGCCTCGCGTAACTTCTCAGAATTATTCTCGAGAGAAGCAGCCGCGGAACGGAGAAGGTCGTCATCCGCCAGTAGTTAGGACAGTGATCGACACCTAGCAGAAAGGCGAACCGGCGCGCTTCCCTCGGAAGCGACAAATATCAAACGCGGCGTGTTTCCGGTGCAATCCATCCTTAATGCCCGTCCGGGGCCGACTTCCTCGACCAGCGCAGACGTTCGCCGAGAAAGTTGCGGAAACTTTCCGGTAATTGGATCCTCGTCGAACGAGAAATATCACGAGTTTCCGGCCACGACCGGAAACTCGCGATGTAATCGGCGCCGGTGCAATTTCTCCTGTGAACAGGGAATCGACGATGTTCGTTCCGCCCGTCTTTCGACTGTCCTTTCTTGCCATCGAATTTTCCGTTGATTCTAGGGCTTTATCGCTCGACGATGCGCTCGAGTCGCGAATTTAGTTATACGGAATGTCTCTGTCAGCTTATTTTCGTCTTTAGGGAAGATAAATTCGAAATGTTCGATTGAATTCAGTTTACGTTAGTTTACGTCAGTGTATATTATGTTTCACTGTTTCGAATGATTCTTCGAACACTCTTAGGAAAGCTACGTTAGAGAGCAAAGAAAGTCTGTTGATGGAGAATTTGTCGAATGCGCCAGGTGTTTTTAACTTTCCAAACTTTTCCACAGCGAGAAAGAGACACGAGCACGCCGAACGCATCGAGGGCCTCTCAGAACTCGATCTTTGATCGCGGAGGGCTGTTTATCGGTGGCCAGGCTTCGAATGTTCCCTTACGTGGTCCCTCACCCGCCGGCTCACCTCATCCATATTCAAGAGGCACTTCGCGCCGGTGAATCGGATCCGCCCCGATAAACGCATCGAAAATCTCGCGAGAGTACTACGTACTACGGGGCGGAATTTTTAATCGACAATTAAGAGAGCGCACCTTCGATCCTTAACGAACGGCGGCGAGCCCCGAGACCTGATTTCTCGCCGGGTCGTCGCTTGAAATTATCCTCTGGCGTTTCATTCGACGTTACGGGGCACGGCGCTGGGCGAGTACCTCCGAAAAGGACGCTGGATCGCGCGAGTCGGAGTTCAGGGATTAATCTCGGCCGAACGAAGCACGGACAACGGTTCGACGGTGTTTTCCCTCGCCGCTCGGTCGTCGTCGGCTTGCCAGGCCATTCTACTAGCCCAATTTGGCAGTGTCTCGGATCCGGGAATATTAATGTTCAATTTCCACGGCATCCTTCTTATCGAGTTGGCAGCCTAGGCTGGCAACATCCACTTGTTCGCGTCTACCGGGCTGTTTCTTGTCATTCCGATCCTCTATCTGGCGAGTAGCTTCCTAGCTGCAGGTGACGCTGTATTTTCTGCTTCGAGTGGACTGCATTAACGAAAGAATCGAATGATCGTTGAGTGCCATCGATATCAGGGCAAGATATTAACCCTATGCACTCGAGAGCTGACTCAGTCACCACATGATTTGACACAGTAAAACTGTAGCATGTGATGTTTAATGTTAAACATTGGAATAAAACAGCTTTGTTCCTCAATGTACTGGTGGTTTCTCTTCGAATTAGTCTCAAAGAACATCGTCTCCGAAAGAAATGTTAAATATTTCTACTAAAGAACATCCGAGTAAAGGGTTAATCAGAAAGAGGTGCTTGAAAATCGACGAGACAGCAAATGCCTTCGATAACTCGCGACACGATAACCATTGCGAAGCACGCGTCGAGGGTCGAAGAAGAGAATCGGCTCGCACAGAGGAACGGAAGACGAATGCGCGATGCCGCGAGCGATGCATCGACGTCCGCGATCGAGGAATGCCGGGCGGAACGGCTCCAGCTGGCAGCCTCCTCGAGAGGATCCTCTTCGCGGGCTCCTGTTGCATAGGCCCGCGAGGGAACGCCGAGGGCTTGGCCACGCTCGAGGACGCACGCCGTTCGGCGCGGCTATCGAGACGAGGAGCCGCCGCGCCGTCGAGAGGACACTCGATCAAAAGTGCCTCCCTGTTGCGAGCTCCGTTGTTCCCACGGCCTCACCCCCTCGCCGTCTGATCCTCTTCGCTAGCAGCCGGCTGCCAGCCCGACTGTCCCTCCGTTTTAGGGAGATCGTGATAGGCTAAGTGCCCGTTATCCACTGTGTTGCCGCGGCCCGCCGGGTAATCTGGTTACCTTTCACCCTTGCCAACTGAGTCTCGACTCCCGCAGACCTATTTTCAGATTGATTCGTTCGCGTGAACCGGTTTTAACGCGACGTGTCGCAAGTTCTTTCAAGTTCTTTTCAAGTTGTTTAAGTTGTTTGAGTTCTTTGTGTAAGTTGGACGAAGAAAGCCAAGTAGAATCGAGGAATAACGCTGCCAAGGCTGGAATTCATCGGTCGCCGATGGGGGAGGACGATTTTCGAGGGGGTTGGTCGGCCAACGGGACGCGTAGGCGGTGCATGGGTTCGAGGTGCGTGGCCTTGACCCGCTTCTAGGGACCGGGCCGGGTCAGGAGTGTGCGTTCGAACGGCGAAGCTCCTCGGTGGCGTGCACGGGGACCGAGCTCGAGCCGCGTGTGTCCGCGATTATCGTTATCGTTCCGGTGACGAGGCACGAGTCGCGAGGAAATGGCAAATGTCGAGGGAACAGAGGAGCCAGCCCTTCACTCGCGAGCTCTCGCTTCTTCCACTGTTGGAACGTCCGATGACGAGTCTTTTCGAAATCGTGTTACGGAAACTTCAGTGCTCGAGTACTCGAACGTTCGAGTAACTCGAAACTGGAATGTTCGGAAGCGGAGAAATTTAAGAATTCGAATATTCCAGTTATGCAAACGTTCATTTCGAGTTTTCGGAACCGAGACGAATAAACGAAATCGACAAGCAGATGTTATCGGACGCGGAATAAACCGCGATCGATCTTTTTCTTCGATAACCGCTTGTCCGTGGGAACGGAGCGCGGCTCAATTGAAAAATATTAATAAAAACGGACCGACTCGGCGTCAACAGTTTTATTATTAAACGCTGCTGCCGCAGCTGCTGCATCCTATTGGAGAAACGAAAGCGGAACGGGTCTGTTTTTTTGGCAGTCTCGGTTCGGTGGTAGAAAAACAACTGGTCGCCGAACGAAAAGGTTGTTTAGACGAGTGAACGAATCCGATGAACTCCTTTCTCGTTACTTTTTCACTCCTCCGATCCTCTTGTTTCTCTCGTTTATAACGATTAATACATCGAAAGTGAAATTCAAGTTTAAAAGGCTCAACTACCCAAAGATGAACGTTCCTTAATGTTCTCAATGCTTTCGCGTTCACGCTTCGATTACAAAATGGCGAACGTTGCACGTCGGACCAACTCCGAAAATTCGAAATTCAATGAAACAAACATGAAAGTCGTTCGCGTTGAATTTCCAGTGAAATATTCTCCCCGCCAAAGATTGTTCGAAGCATTTCAATTATTCCGTGATAAGTTTATCGCTTAAGGTAATATTCAGTTGCAGCGGTTGAAGATCGATCAAGGAGTATCATCTATCGACGAACGTGATTGCTTAGAAAGATAAGAACCGTCGAAAGATGACGCCTTCCACCAGATTTTCGAGCGTTTCGCACGGGCAACGCTCGAAACTGGGTGAATGCGCCTTGATTAATCTCCCCGGCGCGACCCCGTCGTCGAATCGACGGCGATTCAAAATAATTCCCGACTAACCCCCCGCTCTTTTTCCGTTCTGTTCACAGCTGACAGCAGTTTTCTCCTGGCGAACGCTCAGATCGTCGACTTCCCTATTGTCTATTGCAACGAAAGCTTTTGCAAAATCTTTGGCTATGATCGTGCCGAGGTAATCTCCTGTTCCACGTGCGGGACCCGCGACCGTCTACCGGCGGCTCCACGAATTCTCGCCTCTCACCCTGTCCCCGCAACGGTTTTCGGTCCCTTTATTCGACTCGCTTTGAACGCGCCGCCGGATTTCGCGGTGGAGACGCTCGGGAAACGTTAAATCGAGCGTACGCGGCTCAGACCGAGAGGAATGAAGTCCGATTTCGCTGGAATAGTCGCGCGTTGTCGGAGCAAACGATGTTTACGTTTGTCGTTCCGTTGCACGATCGTTTATATATTTCATTCTTTATTCGTTCGGTACTAGTCGACGCAGTGTCGCTACGCAAGAATGAAATCGCGACTGAACGGATCGGTAGTAGTTAAACGATATTAACGCGCCATTCTCGACGTGTCTTCTGATTTTTCATTTTGATTTTCCGGTCTGTAGTGAATAGAAATCCGTATCTTTTATATTTCCACACTGTACATCCATTTAACAGGTTGAATGCAGGTTACCTCGTTGTCCTATAATATCGCGTCGGACTCGTAACGAGAATTTCGAACTGAATTCGGCAGAGATGCTTGATAAATTCCTAACCGCAACGTAGACTCATCGGTTCCGAGGGAAATCATAGGGCAACGGGTCGAAAGTCTCGGGTCTCGGACAGAAAGGCGGCTTCGACGTCCTGTATTCTAGACCGACGACGGAAAGATGTCGAAGGGAGACGAAGATCCAATGAATTATGCGGGAATCGGCACGATCCCGATTCAATTTTCGCGTTATCCGCGGACAAACACCGAGGCTCGTCCGATTCCCCGATAGCGAGCCCCCCGTTCCGAGCAATTACCGCTTTTCCATTACCCCTTCCAGCCGTGTAATTAAATCGACCCGTTACGTCGGATTTATGTAACGCCGCTTCCGCGTCGGGCCACGCGACCGATCGCGTTCTTGCGGCTCGTGCTCGTTTTCGGGAACGAGCGTTTCACCCCTCGCCTCGCCACTCGTTTCGTCTCGGACGTTTCTGCTTACGCTGTTTCATTTTGTCGCGATTCCGTGGATACGACTGTTGTAAAAAAGCTCGACTGTTACAGATTCGATTGAATTTTGTTTATGAAAAGACAATTCTTTCGCTTACGGCGCGAGATTTATGAAAGAATCGACAAAATCGAGTCATCGCGATCGCAATCGAGTTAACCACTTGCGCTGGAAATGAATTCCGAGATTTGTTGAATTTTGTTTTCACTCGCTTTACGCTGATATGTACACCAATTTTGTTTGTTAATCATTCTGTATAGATACATTTCGAAACAATTTGATAGGCGCAATGCAACAAGATTGTCATGTGTGAAAGACATAATTGAGGATTTTGTAACAGAAACATCTCGACGTGCGTGGCGCGTCTTTCCAGCGTAAGTGGTTAAAACAGTCGTCGGAACTGTACCGGGGAACGGTGTTTGCCTTTGAAAGCTGTCGGCGAGCATTTAACGGTGGCCTTTGTAGAATCTTCGAAACAACGCGTGACGACCGCGTGAAAATTCGAGGCTGTAGTTTGTTTTTGAATCTTGAGAAAAACGTTCCGCGATGCTATACGGATAATTTATATGAACGACGCTCGAAAAACGGTATTTCGTCGCGACACCCACGGTTTCTTTTGAGAATGACTAACGGGAATTTAACGGGACCCCGGCCTAAATCATGCAAAGAACGGTATTGACATGTTTGTTCATGATCCTGTCAGGTTATGCAAAAGTCCTGCCGCTGCGGATTCATGTACGGGGAGTTGACGGACAAAGAGTTGATCGCCAGGATAGAGGAATGCCTCGAGGGCCAGATACACGATCAATTCGAGATCCCGCTCTACAAGAAGAACAGTAAGTACCAGAGGATGCATGGCAGCGTCGCTGCGCGGAGAGAACTTTAACCCTTTGCACTCGGAAGCGTTTCGCTGGAAATATCCGACATTTCTCGACGAGACAAACATTCTCTGAAGCCAACTAATCGGAAACTATTCGTAAGCGGAAGAAACAGCTGCTTTGAAATACCATTTATTAACACGGACGAATTTGGTTTATTCACAGTTTTGCAAATTATGCATTCGTGTTATTTGCAAGTTGAATCTTTAACGCTTAGCCAACCGAATGAGGTCTCTCACTTTTCACTTAGCTAGGTATTGCCTTTTATTCTGTTCATCTTTTATTTTGTTATTTAGTAAGTCTCGAAGTGGGATTATTTGCAATTATTTACAAAACAGTTTCTAGCCGAATTCATTGAATCAGTTCAATTGAAGATAATGAATGGGGTTGTAGTTATAGTTTTTTTAAAGACTAACTGTAAATTGAGTCTCAGAGACTCTCTTCCATGTGTCGTAACGACGTTACATTTGAGACTTCAGATTTTTGCTACATCGAGTCCGAACGGAGACCGAGCGTCGCGTCTCGAGCGCGAAGGGTTAACTGCGGCGTTCGTGGCTATTTCCACGCCGAGAACCGACGATTTCGGATTCACGACCAGTGTCCACCCTCCGGCGAACCTGTCGGGTTATTTTCGAGAATTTATGGCCGCGCGGAAGCGGTGTTTTATCGCCGTTCGAGCGACAGACGCGCGATCGGGGCTCGAGGTGGAAGAATGAATAGCTTATACGGATACTAGAGTCATTTTTTATTGACGAACAGCATTCGAACATCTCTCCGGGGCTAGGCTGTTCACCAGAACTGTAAATAGTTCAGTTGTTGCGGTAAAAGCGAAGCGTTCGAAGGTTTTCTCTCGATCTTCGATTTCGAAGCACTGGAAATTGACGAATTCTAGGAGAGCCTTGCGAATTCGCTGCTACTATCGCTCCATAATTTCACTAAAGTAGAATAAACAGTTCGATTACTTTACAATCTACTGCAGAATCGATTAGCAATATCTTTGCTTCCTTTTGGCAACGCGATGCAACAAAGATCATCGCTATTGCCAGGTTTTACGAGCACTTCTCCCCGAAGAAATCGATGAAATCGATACGTAATGTCAAAGTTTAGTCAACCGACTCGTGTTGGTAGGAAGGAACGCAATCGAACTAGAGTCTAGCGGTCGTAGAGCGTATTTCGAACTTCTCGCCCGAGGGTGGCCAAAGGAAATCGTCGGTTCCCAACGCGCGGCGCCATTGGGCACGGATTTACGCGTTGCATGCCGTTGTGCATGCGGAAAAGACGCTGGCCTTTAACGCACCGGTGTTCGGTGTTCACAGATCATCCACGCCAACGCTTCTGACCCTTGCTGACTGTCTTTCTCCCCGCGTTTAGGGTGGACCGAGGCGAAAATAATTTTCCGTTCGATAAAAAAGAAGCGAAAAATATTTCAACGTCGATATTCAGCTCTCGCGCTGGAAAGACGAGCCACGCGCGTCGACGCTTTTTCCTTTCGAAACTGCCGATCGCGTTTTACGCGCATCGATAGACTTGTTGCATCGCGCACACCAGATTCTTTGGAAACCGGGTAAAAAGAAAATTCATTGGACAAGCCTCTGCCAAATCTCCGAATTAATTTCCAGCGCGAGCGGCCGATCGATTCGCCCCGATCCATCCTATCTGCTCTCCCCCTTTCTCGATGTTCTCTGTATGTTTTCCACGTGGCAATATATAATTCGATATTCATAAGCAGTCGAGAACGCAGTCGCTGCAAGGTACAGTATTCGGATCACGGAATGTAAAGGGTTCATGGCGTCGTCGCAGTTCTCGATATGGAGGCTTTCGGGCGTCAATGTCGTTTTGGAAATGTTCAGTGTTTCGAGGTATCGAGGAAATATCGTAGCCTTTTCCCTTTTTATTTTATCGAAGGAAACAGTTGTTGCTAATTCGAGGGACTTGGTTTTAACGTTCTGTCAAATTATTCCCTGAAAATAAAGGTACGTTGGAACACTGAACGCGTTTCTTCCGAACGGTTTACGTCTAGGAAGCAAAATTGACAAGGACTGTACCGATTGCGATAGTTTCGCGGCAAGGAATAAGCGAATCCTCCTAAGCAACCGAGCGACCCATTCGGCGAATTACAATATCGCCGGCGGAGCACAATAATGAATGATCGTTCTGTTTCAAGGTGCTCAACGAGGTATGTCTAGCACAGGTTCGCAAATGAGCGCTCGAAAGACCCACCAGTAAGTCAGCCCCGATTCTACCAATACAATCACAATAATAATTCATAGTTTTGTCTTTTATCTATCTCTCTCTCTGTATCTATCTGTCTTTGTATTTATTTCTTCATAAGAGTGTCTCGTGACATATGAGAATCGCTTTGAGGACGGCTTCAGCGCGCAAAGAGAATAAACAAAGTTAATGTAATGTTTACGTTTAACGAAATCTTCCATGAAAAGCGTCTTATTGATCGTCGCTTGAATTAAAGATCTGTCATACTGTTCTTATTCATATTGTTGTTCAATTGTTAGTTACTCTATTCATTGATAAATTGAATTTGTTGAATGAGTATTTCGAAATCTTTTTTCATTCTTCCGATGGGCTGAAGCCGTCAGCAAAGTGTTCTCCGTGTGTTTCGAAACACCCTGTATATATACATATATACATATATATAAAAACATTAATGAGTATGTACATTGGAGCTATATTGTATACGATTATTATACGCCCATCTCTAGCGTGAGCAAGAGACGACACACGTACAAGGATCGTCGAACGATCCCTGGACCAAGGGGCGCCCATAATGAGAGGACATTATTCGACCTCCCGCCTACTCTTGAATTCAGTTAATTTTTCCCGATTTGTACTAAACATTAGATAATACGCACAAGTACTTGAATTACGCGCAATCATCTTCGCAGTGACTGTCTCCTCTACCAGCCCAGGGAACTGCCATGGCGGTGTCCGCCATTTTCACTCGTTTCGCTACGATCCGCCATCTTATTTCCTGAAATATTCGAGATTTAATGTTTCTTCTTTTAAATAAATTCACGAATTCGTTGCCTTTTGGATCGGAAGTGAAGCAACTTTTATTTTTATCATTCGATACATTTCTTTAAGAATCTGTGATTGTATAATCATTTGTCGTTATTCTTCGCGTTACTTCGATATCTTAGGCAACGGATTTTTGGAAGATCGTCGCATAATCTTTGATAGACACTCTTCGACGGATGCTCTCCGTCATTTTCGATAAAGTATAGTGCGGGGAACCGCGCTAAATTCGACTTACAGAAGCAGTTTATCGAGATCGGTAATGGATCACTCGAAAATAATATCCCAGGATTTGTTTACCTTACAAGAAAACCTTTCAAGCCTCTCAGGACCCCATATCGCGGTGAAACGATTGCAGTCGAAGCGAGAACTGACGAAAATCCTATTTCCAAGGATGGAATCTATTCGATTAGTCGAGAGTAGGTTCGCTGGGCGGGCAGAGAGGCGTAATGTATGCAGGGGTGGGCAGCTCCACGATTTAAATAAAACCTTTCGAGCAACGAATAAAATCCTACATACACGTGACCAGTTTCTCATCGTATTAACCCAAAAATTCGAGCAAACGAATATTCAACGATAATCGCTTAAAAGCATAAACAAACGGAAATCAACAACGTTCGACCCTCTGTCATTTGAATATTTGCAGTTCTTTAATCATGTTTGAGTAACGAAAGATCTTTAGTTTCCTTGTAATAATTGTCTCCTGATTTTGGTCTCTAGCCTTTTAACGTACTAATGTACGATTTTTAATAATTCCGAAAATTCTAGAATCCATGAAATAGTACGGTGCCCGCCCCTGCACGTATGTTTGTCCGTGTGTTTCGTCTTATACAATTGAAAACGCTGCGAGGAGCATATATCGCAAACGAGACGAGTTCACTCGTCGACAAAGTGGCCGTTGACAGCGTAATCGCGAGTTTCTTTGTCGATTTTTGGAACAGTCATAAATGTCACGTCCACCGTAGGTAACCAGCGTACGACCCGAGCCGAGATTACCGTACATAGTCGCGCGGAATTAAGGGACCACTGAATTCGATGAAAAAATCATCGATTTTCTCCTTCCCTTGTTTCATTTCAGCGCCAACGTCACGCTTCTCCATCAAACTCGAATAACTCGGCGAGAAAAAATCGTACTTAAATTTTTAAGGTGTCATTGTAAAGGGCAGACTCCAATGTTCAAGTCCACGGTGGATTCGATGTTTAAACAAATTCGTTGGCGTCCATAGAAACGTTCGAATTCGTGAAACACTGAAAAAAGGTGAAGAAAGAGTACGTATGCTCTTTCACTCGGCACATAAAGAGGAAACGTCGCAGGGAAAAGTGATTTAAAGGGATCGAGAATGGAAGGTTAATGTTTGAAAACGAGACTATCCAGAATGTCGTGCGATCTTTTTCCGCGAAATTACAACGGTTCGAACATCGACATCTTTTCACCGAAGGTTTAGCGATCCCTTAATTCCGTCCAGGAGAAGTCTCCTTTAGAAATTCTCCCTCTTTCTTTTTTTTCTGGCTCCCTCCCTGGCCGTTCTTTTTCTTTCTTTCCCCGGCTCCCGACTCGACTACGCGGGCGCGGGGTTTGTAATCGAGCACGATAAGTTCAAAGTGAATTTGTTCGATTGTCGAGCGACCGGCGGGATGAAAAGACGCCGTGGAGAAAGGCGAGCGCGGATTAAAGGGGCGCTAAAGGGAACG